GCCCGTACGCACACGTACGCACGCACGCACGCACGCACGCACACACACACACGCACACACACGCACACACGCACACACACAGACACACGCGCACCCATAAACACACGCACGCACACAAACGCACACGCACGCACAGACACACACACACACACGCACAAACACACACAATCACACGCACACGCACGCACGAACACACACACACACACACACACACACGCGCACGCGCGTACCCACACACAAACACACAAACACACACGCACACGCGTACCCACGCGCGTACCCACGCGCACGCAGGCACGCAAATACACACACACACACACGCGCACACACACACACACACACGCACACACACACACGTACACACACAAACACGCACACGCGCACACACGCACGCACCCCACACCCCCACACACACCCACACACACACGCACACACACACACACACACGCACACACGTACGCACACACACAAAACACACACACACACACACGCGCACACACACACACACACAACACACACACACACACGCGCACACGCACACGCACACCCGGCGCACACACACACAGAAACACACACACACACACGCACAAACGCACGCACACGCGCACGCACGTACACGTACGCACACGCACACACACACACACGCACAACACACACACACACGCACACACGCGCACCCACACACACGAACACACACACACACACACACACGCAACGCACGCACGCACGCACGCACGCACACACACACACACACACACACACACACACGCGCGCACGCACACACACACACGCACAAACACACACACAGGCACACGCACGAACGCACACCTACACACACACGCCTGCACGCACGCGCGTACCCACGCTCACACACACACACACACACACACGCACACACACACACACGCACACACACGCACACACACACACACGCGCGCACACGCGCCCACGCACGCGCACACGCGCACGCGCACGCACATGAGCACGCGCACGCACACGCACACGCGCACACACGCATACGCACACACACACACACACACACACGGTGATGTTTGCTGTCCCGGCATTCCTATAGTCCTACCCCGAAGCGTTCGTAGAACCCGAATGTTCTAAGAACAAAAACAACGTTCTGAGAACATGAACCCGATGTGATAAAACACGACAGTCCCACCCAGAACACGTTCTACGAACATTTCGTGAAAACCGCAAAAAAAATGTCAGAACACTGTTTCGTAGGACCATAGGCGCGCCAGGACGCTTCGCCACTGCGAGAGTTTTTTCGCCGAAGGGTCAAGGATTAAGTGGGGCCTGTCCCCCTTACAGGGAGATTGTTGACGAAACAAAAAAATACACCAACAATACTTAACCAAAAAATAGTCCAAACATAATCAAGGGATTTGTTGGAATATGTTTGGACTTTTTTGGGGTATTGTTTGGGGTATCTGTTATATCTCGTGAAAAAATCCCGCTGTAGGGGGACAGGCCCGACCTAAATCAAGGATGCCCCGCCACTGCTTGAGTTTTTTTCGCCCAAGGATCAAGGATGCTCCTCGATGGCCCTCGCCGAAGAAAAAAGATGCCGAAGGCCCTCGCCGAGGGATCAAGGATGTTCCTCGACGGCCCTCGCCCAAGGAAAAAAAAAGGCACGCGTCCGAGCGATGCCGAGCCCCTTTGTGTGGGCTCCGCTGCCGGACGGCGCTGCTCCCCGGCGCTCTCGAGCAGGGCGGCGCGGCGGGCTCTGTCGAGCAGGGCACTGCGGCGCTGCTCTGCAAGAGAAAGAAATTGAAGGGGCCCCAGAACACACCAATACATACACACAAAGAAAAGGATTCCCCATCTTTTCCCATAGTGATAAGAAACGATTAAAACAAACTTTCTGGGGCGGACGATTGAAAAATTGTTTCGCGGGCCTCCTCGCCCCCGCAATAGCGGGGGGGCAGGGCAGGCAGACGGGGGGCTGACACTTCCGGGTTGCCTGGAAGGCCAAAGGGGGGGGGCACGGGGTGGCGATCCAGGGCGCGGGGGCCAGGGGGTGGACGGGGTGATCTTTCAGGGCGAGCTCGTCCTCCTCCTCCTCCTCCGCCTCCTCCTCGTCGTCCTCCTCCTCCTCCTCCTCCTCCTCTTCCTCCTCTTCCTCCTCGTCCTCCTCATCCTTTTCCTCCTTCTCCTCCTCCTCCTCCTCGTCCTTTTCCTCCTCGTCCTCCTCCTCCTCCTCCTCTTTTTTCTCCGCTTCCTCCTCCTCGTTCTCGTCCTCTTCGTCCTCCTCCCCCCCCCCGTCCGCAAGGACGGGGGCGGCCCTCTCGCTGTCTCGCCTCCCTTTCCTCCTCGTCGCCCCCCCCCCCCCCCCCGTCCGCAGTCCGAGTGCTAACGTGCCACGTCGTGCTCTGCCATGCGGCGCTTTGATATTCAACGCCATGCTATGCAATGTTATGTTCGGGGCCGCTGTGCGATGCCATGTTTTGCGCTGCAAAACCAGATGATGCAATGCTTCACTACGCCACGCCACGCCATGCTGTGACATACTACGGTTCGCGGTGCTCTTCAACGCCATGCCACGCCGCGCTCTACAATTCATCGCGTACACTTTCGGGATCATTGCCCTGCTCGACATCCGACTGTGCGAGTAGAGAGGGAATCTACGCCATGGTAAGGGATGGGTGGGAGGGGTTGGCTGTCATATATGACGCGAGCGCACCTAGCTTGTCATCCCCCCTCCTCCTCTTCCTCTTCCTCCTCCTCCTCCTCCTCCTTTTCCTCCTCCTCCTCCTCCTCCTCCTCCTCCTCCTCCTCCTCCTCATCCACCACCTCCCAACCGCCGCGGCCGTCCGCAAGGACGACCGCCGGCCGTCCGCAAGGACGAGGGTGATCAAGCGCCTCTTCGAAAACCCCTTCCCTCAACTACTCCCAAATTACCCCGTCCCCCCTCCGCAATCCTCCCCCCGCGGCCGCGGGTGATCAAGCGAGCGAAGGAGGACGAATAGAAAATCAGACCCCCCAGAGGGGCAAAAGCAGACGCAGGTGGGCGGACGATTAGAACAACAGTTTCGGGCGGCTGAATTCGATGAGTCCGCCCCACCCAATCGTTTTGGGGGGTCTGGTGGGGGGGGGCGATTTTTTTAATCGCTTCCCTGCTTTATTTTCTGGGTCTTCGTCTTCCCCCCCCCCCACTTCCCCTCTTTTCCAATGTTCTCCTGGGGGTCGACGATTAATTGTGTCTTTGTGTTTTTCCCCTCCCGAGACATGGAACGGCGGGCAACTCCAGGCGGCGCTGGACGTGATCCTCGTGTGAGCACCACTCGCTGGTGTGGGGCGAGTCTACTCCCTCCTCCTCCTCCGCCCCATCCTCTAAAACAGGGCTAGGATCGGGATAAATCGCTCCAGAGCGTTCCAGAGCGCTCTCAGAGCGTTCCGGAACGCTCTGGAGCGGCCGCGGCGCCCAATACATCCTCCAAACCCGCCGATTCTCAGAGATTTCGAGTTATCCCGATCCGATTTTGTCCCGATCTTCGCGTCGTTTTATCCTCCTCCCTGCTCTCCCCATCTGGCCCTCCAGGCCGGCGCCGGCTGGGCACGAACACGCGGGGGCGGGGGCCTCCATGACGATGGCGAACCGGAAGCGCTGGTCGATTGGGGCGCCCGCCTCGTACTTCCTGCGGGGGTAGGCGGGGAGCTGCTCCTCGTGCTGCCCTGGCCCTCCTCCTACTCGTCCTCCTCTCGGCCCTCCCCCCCCCTCGTCCTCCCCCCTCCTCGCCCTCGTCCTCCCCCCTCTTAGTCCTCCTCGCCCTCCCACCTGCTCGCCCTCGCCCGCCCCGCCTCCTCGCCCTCCCCCCCTGCCTCGTGCTTCCTGCGGGGCCTGGGCGGTCGGTCGGGCTCGGCACTGCAGCAGTCCGCGCGCCGCCGTCGGGCTGTCGCCCCGACGAGCTGGTGCGAAACAGGGGCGAACCCCCCCCGAAGACCTCGACCCACGACCCTCGATGCGCTGGGGCCCGGCGGCCTCCCGGAGACCCCCGGAAGCAGGGGCGGAGCCCCTCCCCCAAGACTTCGACCCCCGACCCGCGAGAGGCCCGGGCCCCGCCTTGCCTTAAAACAGGGCTAGGATCAAGATAAATCGCTCCAGAGCGTGCCGGAGCGCTCTCAGAGCGTTCCGGAACGCTCTGGAGCGGCCGCGGCGCCCAATGCATCCTCCAAGCCCGCGGATTCTCGGAGATTTCGAGTTCTCCCGATCCGATGTTGTCCCGATCTTCGCGTCGTTTTGTGCCCGTGACCCCATATCTGGGGCCTCCGGCGGCGGCGGCCCCGGCGGCCCAGCGCCGGGCCCCGCGGGGGCCGCACCGTGGGCCCACAGGCGCCTGGGCCCGAGAGTCGGGCGGGTGGTCATGTCGGGCGCGGCCAAGAGGGGGGTGTCCAAGAGGGGGGGGTGCAAATCATGACCGGCGGCATGTGCGCGGCCCAGCGGGAGGGCCAGGGACGTAATGAAATAGGAAGAGGCGCCATGACATCTGGGGAAGTATCATGGCCGCCGCCATGATATCCCCCCCCCCCAGTCATCACCCCCCTCTTTTCCGCCCCTGGTCATTGGGGGTGGCCCCGATTCGGGCGATGGCAGGACCGGGTCTAGTGGTACCTGGTTCAGAGATCTGCACCGGGGGCCCGCCCCCCCCCCCCCCGTCCCATTCCACTAACCGGAACTGCCGTCGCCCGAAAAGCACCAGCTACGGCAGACCTGGCTTCGTGATTCCAATCCGAATTTAGGGCTTCGGGGCCCAATCAGTAACAGTCTCTCCTTAACTGGGGTCCTGGCTGTACCAGGCCAAGGAGCGAGGATCAAATGCGGGTCTTACGCGAGATGACGTAGCGACCTTGCGCGGTGGTCACGCGAGCCGCCGGCGCGGCACGCTACTCTGGAGCGGGCAGCTTACGCGCCGAGGTCGGCGCAGACGACCCTGTTTTATTGCGTCGCTCAAATGGGGGGTGAAGAAAGGGGCCCTAAAGGGGACAAGAAAGGGGACAAGGGGACAAGAAAGGCAGCGACACTTTACTTGATCAGCTGGTGCCCAGAAGGGGCCCTAAAGGGGCCCTTCAGGACCCCTTCTGGGCACCAGCTGGCTCAAACAGGGGCACTCGAGGGCTTCTTTTTAAGGGCCCCTTTCTTCACATCCCATGTGGACCACCCCCCCAGTACCGACCACCCACGCGAGAAAGATCGGGATGAGTTCCGCGATCGCCGCGAGCTTTTGCTTCTGGGGGTCTGCGGAATGGCGTGAGCCTCTCGGGTGTTAGCCTTAGAGCTCTGGCATGTCCTCCTGCAGACAGATTTTGGACGAAGAATGACAAGTCAACATACACTCAACAGCACTCACAAAATGGGAGAATAATCGTCACCAGACTATTGTTTGACTTTGTTTGACATGCCCGACTTCATGTTAGCCAGCGTGGACCCCCAAGCATCGGCGGTGCACAAACCTCCCTTCAGTAAACCACCCTTTGGTGAGAGCGGCCCAAGACCGACACCGACGGACCTGGACCCACAACAGGTGACGGCCGCGACGCCCTCTCGCGAACCGAAAACGGCAAATTCGCGAATCGACGTGTCAGGGTAGGAGGTCTGTCAACCCCCGATAGCGTACCTCTTTCTCCCCCGGGAGACACCCGAACGCCCAAGGACAGCCGAACTCTGGGTGGGGCCTCCGCCTGGCCCCGTGGACCTCGGGGCAGCAGAAGGACCGCGGCGCCCAAAAACTCAAGAGCCATGACTGTGCACACCTCCGAAAGAAGAGAAAAAAAAAGGCTGCGCCCGGCCTCATCGCCATGGCCTCGGCGAAAACCTTCTGCTGCGCCGCCGAGAACTCGGAGATCTCCGGCGACTTCCTGCGACCGCGGGCGGCGGCTCCCCCATTCTCCCCCCCCCCTTCCCTTCTCCCTCCTCCTTCCCCTCCTCCTGCTTCCCCTCCTCCTCCTCCTCCTCCTCCCTCCCTCCCTCCCTCCTCCTCCTTCTCCCTCCTCCTCCTCCTCCTGCTCCTCCTCCTCCTCCTCCCTCCTCCTCCCTCCTCCTCCCTCCTCCTCCCTCCCTCCCTCCCTCCCTCCTCCTCCCTCCCTCCCGCCCTCCCTCCCTCCCTGGTTCCCCAGGCTTCCAGCGGCTCGAGGAGCCCGCGGCCGCCGCGACTTCTTCCCCACTCCTGGCGGCCCCCGGGGAGCCGAGACCTCGGAGATCTCCGGCGAGTTCCTGCGACCGCGGGCGGCGGCTCCCCCGGGCTCCCGGCGGCTCGAGGAGACCGCGGCCGCGGGTGTTCTTTTCCCCACTGCTGGCGGCCTCCGGGGACCGGCCCGGGGCCCCAGGGCGAGCAAAAGATGGCACCCTTGCGTCACGTCGGGCATGGCCTTCTACAGGAGGAATGCTCAAGAATGGTGGCAAAAATGGTCTGGCGACGATTGTTCGCGCTTTTCTGTTTGTTTTGGATTTGTTTGTGACTGTTTTGTTTTTCTCCAAAATCCGCCTGTAGGAGGACATGCCCGACCTAACCCTTGCGGCAGAAGACCCACACACCATGCACGAAGGGGATCAACGAAGGGGGACTGCGATGGGCTACCGATTTCGTAGACGCGGCTCCCTCACCGGGCGTTGGAAGCAAATAGAGAACCCTTGCAGGCGAGATGTTTAGGAATAGCTCAGGATGACCGGTCGGTCCTGAAGAAGAGGTCAGGACTTGTGTCCGCAGGCATCGATTCCCCGTGCGACCATCGTCTCTCCCTACTTCTCCTGCGCCCTGTCCTCCGGCTGGGTCTGGACGGGGTGGAAGGGGGCGACCCATAGCAACGCCCAAGATGGGTCAAATGACACAGGCAGCTCAAGGCAGCTTCCAAGGTGGCATAACGTAAGCCAAAATGGTTCAACGCAGCTCCCAAGAGGCCCCAAGACCGCAACAAGACAGCTGGGCGCAGGGCTTCCCAAGACCCCCAAGATGCCTCAATCCTTCGAACACCTGACGCCTTCCAGAATTCGGCCTTCTCCTCCTTTCTTATCCGATGGGGTTCTGAGGCATCAAGTTGGCTCCAAGATCGCCCAAGAAGGCTCCAAGAGGGACCCACTAAGACTCCAAGACTGCCTCCCGAGGGCCCAAGGGCGCCCTCAGAGTGCTCCAAGAGGCGGTGTTTCGAGCTCCGACGGAGGTCGGCAAATCGCCGCCGCAAATGTTTTTCATTTCTGATACGTAAAACCACTGAATGAGTTCATCCTCTCGGGGCATCCCTGTGAGGCTGCTGGGTCACTGCGGCTCCAGGATGGCCCGATCAATCTTAAGATGGGCTCCAAGATGGATCAGTATGTTCGAGCATCCAAGAGGCCCCAAGAACCCCGAGAGGTCAACATAAATCAAGCGCCTAATGTGTTTCAACTATCCTGGCCTTCTCGCCGTTTCGTTTCCGATGGGCTCCTGAGGCCTCAAAACGACTCCGAGGCCACCGCCCAAGAGAGCCACAAGACGGGCCCCAAAAGCGTCCCATGAGGTTCCCAAGAGGAGATGTCCCGGGCTGCAACGGGGAGACCCTAACCAGTGCCGCATATGTTGTTGATCGATATCCTCCGATATGTCCCCAAGAGGAGGGCTCCAGAGTTGGGTCGGACGAAAGGGGAATAGCAAAAAGGGGGTTACCAAATCAGCTCACGCAGCCGGCTTTCTCGACGCCTCCCCGCGCCAGGAGGCGCCCGTGTACCGAGCAAAGGTGCGTGGCGCCTGGCGGAGGGACCGACGCCAGCCGCACGGAGCAGATTTCGCACAGTGGGGGCTCGACCACAAGAGACCTCCCACAAGAGACCCAACCCTGAGACCCCAGGACGTCCACTGACTTTTGGTGTGTGGGCGTCACGCTTTGCATGGCAGACACATCGAAACCCAAGAAGCCCAGGGCACCCTGAAGGCAAGCAGGGTACTTCTTGGCATGGGCCCCCACTGTAATCTCCCCTCGCCCTAGTCTCAAGTCGGGCGTGTCCCCCTACCGGGGGATTTGCGACGAAGAACGAAACCATACCCAAAACATACTCGCAACTGGTATCAAAAAATGCTGAACAAATAGTCCCCAGACTATTTGTGGTCTATTTTTGAATATTCCCCCTGTATCGGCGGTGGTCAAACCTCCCTTTAGCAAACCTCCCCTTAGTGAAAACGGCCTGGGACCGAGACCGACGGACCTGAACCCGCAGAAACGACGGCCGCGACGCCCTCTCGCGAACCGAAAACGGCCGATTCCTCAATCGACGTGTCAGGGTAGGAGGTCATCCACCTCCGACTGTAAGAGGGACAGGCCCGACCAAACCCTGGTCCCCTCTTCCGTCCGACCCGACGCTCGCCCGGAGGCGACGCGGGGGGGGCCGGGAGCCCCCTCCCGCCCCCCCCCATAGGGAGATGAGGGTCAGGTTATGTCGGGCGTGTCCCCCGACAGGGGGCTTGTCGACGAACCAATAAAAAATGCCCCAACAATGCTCCAAAAAGGCAAAAAAAAAAACTACTCAAGAAACAATCCACCTCCGACTGTAGAGGGACAGGCCCGACCAAACCCTGGTCCCCTCTTCCGTCCGACCCGACGCTCGCCCGGAGGCGACGCGGGGGGAGCCGGGAGCCCCCTCCCGCCCCCCCCCATAGGGAGATGAGGGTCAGGTTATGTCGGGCGTGTCCCCCGACAGGGGGCTTGTCGACGAACAATAAAAAATGCCCCAACGATACTGCAAAAAGGCCAACAACACTACTCAAAAAATACGTAATCCACCTCCGACTGTAGAGGGACAGGCCCGGCCTAACCCTGGTCCCCTCTTTCGTCCGACCCGGCGCTCGTCAACGTGTGCTGGCGAAGGCCGCCCCTGCTGGCCTGGAGGCGACGCGGGGGGAGCTGGGAGCCCCCTCCCGCCCCCCCAGGGAGATGAGGGTCAGGTTATGTCGGGCGTGTCACACCCTACAGGGGGATCGTCGACGAAGAATAAAGAATGCCCCAAAATACTCCAAAAAGGTCAACAAATAATCAAGAAATAGTCCCCAGACACTTTTTTGAGTATTGTTTGACTATTGTTGAGTATTTTCCTTTTGTCGTTGAAAATCGCCCTGTAGGGGGACACGCCCGACTTAAGGGCAAGGGTGAACATCCGATCGATCCACGGCTCGCTGTCGTCGTCTTCGTCCGACCAGTCGACCAATTCCGCCTCCTCGACCATTTCCGCCTCATCCTCCTCCTCCAGTTCCTCGTCCTCGTGCTCCTCCTCCACCTCCCTCTCCTCCTCCTCCTCCTCCTCCTCCTCCTCCTCCATGCCCCCTTCGACGCCACCGACTGCCCACCGCATCGCCGGAGGCCTGGCCACTTCAAGGGCGGCCAATCCCTGCCGGCCGCGTGCGACGTCGGCGCACGCGCGCTGGCGGCGGTCTTGAGGCCCGAGAGGAGGAAGGCCTGGGGCGCGCGGCGGGCGGCACGGGCGGCGGCGCCGCGCGCTGGTCGTCGTCGCCGTCGACGTCGTCGCCGCCGCCGTCGTCGTTGTCGCCGCCGCCACGGCCGCCGCCACCGGCGTCGCCGTCGCCGTCGCCGTCGTCGTCGCCGTCGTCGCCGTCGTCGTCGTCGTCGCCGTCGTCGTCGCCGTCGACGTCGTCGTCGCCGTCGTCGTCGCCGTCGACGTCGTCGTCACCGTCGCCGCCGCTCTCCGTCGTCGAAGCCGTCGCAGGAGGGCCCTCGGAGTCCGGGCGGCAGGGCAATATCGTGGCGGCGGGCGATCCGCCGCCCCCGGCCCATCGGAGGCACTTTTGGGGGCCGCGTCAGGCTACACGTGAGAATGACCCTGGGCACGAGTGACCTTTAGGTGCGCGGCGATCGCAGGCCGCGAAGGAGCCAGGTCCAAACGTGCCAGCTTGTGCTGGGGGGACCCGCTGTGGGCCCGCACAGAGGGTCACTCGGGCGGAGGGGCACGCTTACGCACGGCCCGCCGAGGGCCGTCAGGAAACGGCCTGGGATGAAACCCGGGCCCTGGAGAAGGGGCTCTGATCCTTTGTGGCCCAGCTCGCCGCAACCGTGACGACGTCGTGGACGACTGAGGAGGTTCCATCCAATGTTGGAAGGGGGGTCGCCCTCCCCACACCATCCCCCTTCCCACCACTTGACGCCCTCGGTCGCCTCCATCCCATCCGATGTCCACCTTCTTCGCCTCAACTCACCACCCCCTGTTCTGTCCCTCGCATAACGTCCCCTGGTCGATGGCATGACACCATGAAAACTGATCGCCACCCCCTACCATCATCAGTACGTTGCCCCACGTTGTACGACGTCCCCATCCATATTCCACGGGTTGTACTTCAATTCCCACTCTATATACATTTATTTTTACATACATACATATTGTATATACACACGCACATCAATATTTGCACACATGCGCGCAGCAACATATGCATCTGCACGCAGACCACCTGTGCAACAGTTGCGGACATTCGCGCGTGCAGGTCTACATGTCCAGATGTTTCTGAGTTAGCTCAGGCGCGCGCTTAAATTCAAAATCGTGCCCCGCTGGAAACTCGTATGCGCACTTTGCCTGCGCATTGCTTAGTATTCTGCATTTGAATCGATCAAGGCTTCTGTTCTGCGCACTCCTTGCCAAACGAGCAATCATGAGCCCACGTTCCGGCCAACATCGGAACATTCGTGCGCACGCCGTCATCATCTCGAAATGTGCTGAGTATGGGCAGCAAATATTTTATCCGATTGCCTGGTACGTAAATCCATCAACCTACCATGCTTGTCAAAAGGAATGCTAGATGGTCTAGATTGCGCGCGCCATGCACAATGCCAGCCATCAGTCCGTCACTTCGCACGTGTTCTGTTTACCCAAATCCGCCGGCCCCCTTGTGGAGCCACCAGGCTGCAGACTGAAGGTTTGCTGTTCCATGCGCCAGTTCCAGCTTCCAGTTTCCACTGTTACAATTGCTTGTTGCTGCTTAATGTTCCTGGTTGGTGGACCGCGCGAGGGGGGGGGCCGAGAAGGAACCCAGCTACCGCGCCCGAGACGCGTTGCCTGAGCTCCTGGGGGGGGGGGGGGGGGGGAGACGTAAAAATGTATAAAACTTGTCGCGGCGGAGGCCTGACCTGGTGGATTCGGGCACTCCCGGGAGAAGTGTTGCGTGGAGCCGCGCCTGTGACATTTCTCTGTTTGGCCGTCTTTGCCGATCGGGCTGCGGCGTCGGCCTTTACCCTGGCCGGTGGGCCTGGAACGACTCCGAGCGCCGTTTTCCCTAGACTTTCCCCCTGCCGCCAATGGGCCAATTTCTCATGGGCATCGTCTGATAGAGCTGCAGCGTAAATCTGGATGCCCTTCCAGGCGGATCTCCTGCGCCCACCGCGGCCGCCGCGCCCTTCGCCTTTCAGGTCCTCATCATCAGCGCTGGACGCGCCTGACTGACTGGTTTGCAAGCGCAGCGAGCCCAGCGGCCGTCGTGGTACTTGAAATGGAACATCTCTTGTTCACGCTGGTCCTCAGGCAAGTCCGCCAAATCCTCCCGCGCGCGTTGTTTGGTCGCGCTGTCGGAGGAGATCGCGCCCGCGCCCGCGCCGCTGTCGCCCTCTTCTTGAAGGTTGCACCGCGGCGTAGAAGCCGAAACTGGCGTGGGCGCCGCTGGCGGAAGCGGCGGGGCCCAGGCGGTCAAATCCCACCAGCCCTCTGGGCGTCGGTGGTTTAACGAGTTTCCTCTTCCACCCCTCCCTCTTCCCCCTTCGGGGAGGGGTTTACCCCTCCCCCTACCCCCTCCCTACTGACCTGGACAGGGGGTTCCGCGGCGCGTTGGAGCGCCCAAGATCGACCCCTGGGAGGGCTAAAATTCGACACCCCTCACGAGGATCGTGGCTCCTGAGGGGGGGGCTGTAATTAGGGGGGCCCCCTTCGTTGACCGATCTCCTCCAAGATGGTTCCGAGGCCCCCCAAGAGGCCCCCAGGAGGCCCCCGAGAGACCCCCAAGAGGCCTCAAGAGACCCCCCAGAGGTACCCAAGAAGCGCCCAGGAGGCCCCAAGAAGCGCCCAGGAGGCCCCCAAAGGCCCCAAGATGGCCCCAAGAGGCCCCAAGAGGCCCCCAGGAGGCTCCAAAGAGGAACCCGAACGGCCCACAGAGGCCCCCCCGAGGCACCCAAGACGCCGAAAAGCCCCTCAGGACGACCCTCTACTCGCCTGGGCGTCGTTTCTGGACGGGCTAGTGGGGATACGCGAAGCGTCTAGAATTTCATTGAGCGCCTTGGGCTGTAGGCGTATTCCAGGAACTAAACGCTTGAACGCTTGCTCGATCTCCGACGGGTCGTCTGGTCGCCAAGAAGGGAAGCACCTGCGACGTTGGGGCGGCCCCCCCGTTCCTTGGGCGACGCTGCCGGGCATCCCCCCATATATGCGCCCGCGAAGTCGGAGTGGCTCGAGTAGATCGTCGTAGTGCCGTTGGCGACGAGGCATCACATCGTTGAGAGGCTGCAGCAGAGACGCCGCATCGCCCGTCCGCATGGCACGCCCCAAGGTGCGAACAGTAGCTGGAAGTTGCCCAGGCCAAACCCAGCAGCATCTGCTTGCATGCGTGCTGTTTCCCACCGAACCAAGACACCGTCGATGCGTTAGTTGGGCTGCAATCGCAATCCCTTGAATTCGAAGCGTTGTCGCACTTGTCGTTCGTCTTCGAAGCTCTCGCATCTTTGGGCAAACTCATGCAAAAGGTACGTGACACTGTCCGGCTCCAGTGGGATGCGCGTGGGAAGCGTGCGGGCGAGGCCTTGAAGGCCCCGTTGCAATGCAGCTGCTTGGTGTGATGGCGCCATGCGGCTTGAATGGGCGAGCAGGGCCCCGTGTCGGGCCCCTGGTTTGGTTCCCTCCACGTTCGCGGCTCACGTGGCTAACAATGACGACTATAAATGTTGCCGTTAGCGCACATGCCTAACATGCCAAGTAATGCGCTCGATGGCAACATGTGGTCGAAGTCGCGTTGCGTTGGGATGCAGCGATGGTGCTGGCCGTTGTTCCTCGAACGGCGGGTGGCAGGGATAGGTTCGCGAGTCGGAGATCCTGTAGGTCGGAGGTGCTGGTCTCGCGTCGCCGCGAGCGAACGTGGATGAGGTGGTAATTGAGGAGATGATGCTCGTCGTCGTGGTAGCAGCGGTCGAAGTGCCTCGAGCGCACGACGCAGACGACGACGTAAATTAAGTCGTCGTCGCGGTAGCGGTCGAGATTCCTCGCGCGCCTGACGTAGAACAGAGGAATAGATGAATTCGTCGTCGCGGTAGTGGTCGAGGTTCTTCGCGCGCTCGGTGACGGGGCGGTAGACGGATTTCTGGGTGAGGAGGAAAAGGCCTTCTAAGGCGGTCGAGTTTCCTCGCGCGCCTAACATCCAGGTGGTCGGCGGTGAGGGTGCAATGGTTGCGTAGCGGTGAGTTCCGTTGGAGTGAAGGGCCAAGGAGGTCTCCACCATGCTGATGTTGTCGTCCCGAAGGTGGCCTGCGCTGCGCCTGTTGGCGTAGATGGCGTTGAACGTCATCACGGTCACGGCGGAGGCGAACAGAGCTGCCGCGGCTGCGGCAACTCCTCTACCAAATCGAAAGTCGGAACGCCATGTCATGTTGAACCGTGAACTTTAACAACGGCATGGCGAACGATAGCGATGATATGGGTGAAATGCCTTCTCGCCCTTCCACCACCTCAGACCAAGTGGGCAGTCAGTCTGGAGCCGGGGCAGCGGCGGGTAGGCAAGCATGTAATATCCCCCCCCTGGGATTCCATCAAAATCACGGGCCACACTTGACGCACATTGCGCGCGAGGCGCCTGGGAGGGCGGGGTGGAAGGATCGGGACAGCCTAAGGCTTCCTACAGGGCAGTTTTTAATACATGGGATTTCTAAACATATCGAATTCCCAATGCATGATTAATGTATGACTAAATGCATGCATGAACCCATCGTTGTTGTTAATACTAAATCCTTGCATTTGTATACGTGATCCGCACGCGGAGCATGTACTAAAAACGGCGCTGTACCTATAGCTCTGCACTTCTACCTCTTGGGCCTGCCTGCAGCTGCACCTCGGCTGCCGCCGAGGAGCCTCGCCGTGGCGACGCGGGGCTCTGGGAGCCCCGCGGGGGCTGGGGGGGGTAAACTTCGAGCCCCTGGCGTTCGGAATCGACCAGGTATGCAGTTCCGCCTCCTGCCTCCTCCCTCCCTTTTCCTCCCCCTCCTCCTCCTCCGATTGTGTTCCTAACTCCAGGGAGGGGGGGAGGGGGTTAGGGCAAGCTAGGTGCGCTCGCGTCATATCTGACGTCCTACCCCTCCCTCCCATCCCTTACCATGGCGCTGATTTTCTCTATCCGCGGACGCGTGTCGTAGCGGACCTGTGGCTCCGCGCGCGCGTGCGTAGTGGGTGGTGGTGCGCGTGCGTGCGTGCGTGCGTGTGTGCGTGGTTGTGGTGGTGGTGGTGGTGGTGGTGGTGGTGGTGGTGGTGGTGGTGCTGGTGGTGGTGGTGCTGGTGGTGGTGCTGGTGGTGCTGTGGTGGTGGTGCTGGTGGTGGTGGTGGTGGTGGTGGTGCGGCGCGGTGGTGGCGGGCGGATGGGCGCGCGAGAAATAGGCCCGCGCTGGGGCGAGAACGCCATCCTGAACGACGGAGGCCAAACACCGATCCGAAAATGAGGCCCACGCTGCAGCGGGAGCACGATTCGGAACGATTCGGGAGCAGAAATGAGGCAAGCGCCTCAGCGAGAGCAGCATTTTGAAAAAAAACGCAAGCGAAAACCCGTTTCCCGGGAATCCTTTGTAAAAAAACAATACGCGGGGGGTGTCGGATACCTTCGGGACGCCATCAGGGGAAGTGGGAGAGTATTTTCATATTGTGTAATTGTAAACCGAGGAGGATTTGTATCCGTGGCCGGCCCTCGAGGCACGCATTGGAGCGTCCTCGGGTCCTTTGGAGTCCTCCGTATCAGGGAGTGAGTCCCACCAGCCCTCTGGGCGCAGGTGGTCTACAGGAGGCTCCTCTTCCAACCCTTCCCTCTCCCCCTTCATGGAGAGTTTTACCCTTCGAGGCACGTGTAAGAGCGTCCTCGGGTCTTTTAGGAGTCCCCTGCGTCAGGAAGTGCATAGCGAACCAATTCTTCAAGGGGCCCATTGCCCTGAATGCCTAAGAGCTCTTGGGCTCTCTCGGGCATGGCTGGCCGCTCTCCGGGCACGGTTTCGTGACTTGTCTCGTAGGCCAGGGGAATGCAGCGACGGTCCAAGACTCCAAGACGCTCCAGATGGCCTCAAGACGGCCGAAGGGGCCACAATGCGTTCCAAAGAGGGCTCTAAGACCCTAGGAGGCCCCCCAGGAGGGCCCTGGTAAGAGGCACAACTCATTTTCTTTCGGGAGTTTGTTGACAGATTTTAGACTTCTCGCCTGGTCGGGCTCTCGACGCTCACACACGGCCCAAGGGGGTCCTAAGACGGTCCAAGAAGCCTCCAAGGCGGCCGAAGGGGGCCCCACGAGGGGCTCAATAGGGGGAACACGAAATGACGTGTCGAACCCTCCGCCCAAAGAATACCCGACACCGCCAGCAGACCCCTAAGAGGTCTCCAGGAAGCCCCAGTTGGCCCTCAATAGGCCCCCAACACGCCCCAAGGCATCCCAAGGCTGCCCTCCTAGAAGTTTCCCGGCTGCCTCCAGAGGTGTCCCAACAAGCATCCAGGAGGCCTCTGACCTACAACCGAGGCGCGGTGGCGGGATGGGCCGAAGGCCACTAGATCATGCCCAGCCGTCCTGTGGTGCTGGGTCCTCGCTTTGAATACACATCGCCTCGCGTCACTCCTCCGGTCTCCACCTGCTTTCCTTGCCTCTCACCTCCGCATGTCCGAATTATCATCGTCATCATCTCCATTACAATGATCACCACCACCATCAACATCATGATAATCCTGCATCTCCGTTACCGCCATTACCATCACCACCACCACCATCGCCATCAGTCACAATTGGCCACGCCCCTCCCATGCTTCGTGGCCCCGCAAGGGGCTCTACCGAGGGATCCGGTGAGAACCCACGCACGCCGCCACGCCCATTTCGGCACACCCCTCACGCTTCTTGCGTGGTCTTAATGGGAGCTCCAACGACGGCTCCAATGACATCGGTCCCATGGCGGCCCCGCCCCGTTGCGGCACACCCCGCACACGTTCTCTGTGGCACAGTAGAGAGCTCCACCGAAGGCCCCAACGGCAGGGTCCGCATGGCCCCCCGAGCCGACATCGGCACACGCCTCACAAGCTTCGCGGCCCCCATCCCCACTGCCCTGGGATCCATCGGCCCATCGCTCTCGCGGCGCGCGACCTATAATAGACGAGCGCGTTCCACTACTCGCGAAGTAACTATTCGCAACTGGCCTGGATCCGCCGCGGGGGATCTACGAAACCTTACATCAACGCAGGCAAATGTGTGTTTTTTGTTCTGACGTTTGCGAGAAGGCACTCTGCGAGTAGTGGAACGCGCTCGGTGATAGAACTGGGGAGGTTCACATTCCTGTGCTGCAGTCAAGACGCTGGACTAAGGACCGCTTTGAGCTCAGGGCGGGCTCGGGCGAACGGGCCGCCCCCCAGATTCGGGGATGGACAGACCCCCCTTTAATAAAACGTGGTTTAGTGAAAACGACCTGAGGCCCAAACCTGGCGGGCGCAGGCCTGGAAAATAACGGCCACGGCGCCCTCTCGAGAACCGAAAACGGACAATTCACTAATCGACGTGTCACTGTTGGGGGTTCTGTCCACTCCCGAATGTCGTGGCACCCGTTTGTGGCCTAGGCCCGCCGTGGCCAGGAACGCTCCTTGGCTCCGTGTCAAGCAATTCCTGATGGTGGCACGATGCCCGTACAGCCTGTCCAAGGACCTAGGGCGAAAAGCACTGAAGGGGCCCTGGGACACACAAACAAAAATACACACACAATCACACACACACACACAAATCACAGATTTCCCCATAGTCTCCTATCTTTTCTGGGTTTTTGTCTTCCCCTCCACTTCCCATATGCTCCCATATTTTCTGAGGAATCGACGATTCATTGTGTCTGTGTGAGCCTTTTGCCTCCTGAAGCACGCCCTTCAAGAACACGAGACCCTCCGCCGACAAGCACAAATGACAGACGACAGGCGCGGAGATAACCCCGGGGCACCCTCTCCGAGCCGACCTCGACCTGCCCCCTCGCTCCGACCGTGCTCGCAGCTGCATGCCATGCCGCTGGGTCCTCCGCCGGGCCAGCTGTCCTCCTCCGATTCCCACCTCGCCCTGGCCCCCCGCCGCGCCCCGCGCGGCCCCTGCCGCGGGGCCTTCTCCAGGTAGCTGCCGAAGTTGTCGCCCAGCACCTGCCCCCGCCACTGCCGAGGCTCAGAGGCGATGCTTGGGCAGAATCATGCAGGAGGTGGGCGCCGAGAGGTCGGCTACACGCACGGGTGACCCCAGGGCAAGAGTGAGCTCTGGTGCGCGGCTCTTTTGGGTCCGCGGGGTGGCCAAACAAAGGCGCGCAAGACGATAGTGTCGCATCGCGTTCGGCGATCGGGGGACCCCAATGTGCCCGCACTCAAGGTCACTCCGGCGAAGGGTCACTCTTACGTCGAGTCGAAAAGCACGTTGGCCGAAGCGTATGTATGGCTTCCGCTGGCCCCCTGAAGGGACAGAGGGAAACCACTCGACACCTGAGGCGCTGAGACATACTGCAATCGCAGGATCCCCCGATTGCGCACAAATCGTCGGGCGACAGCCTCCTCGGCCGCCGCGCCGCTCAGCAGCCGGCCGCCCGGCAGGACGGCGTCCCGCCGCCAGGCTCCGGGCCCCAGCCTGCCCGCGCGGTGGTCGGCCAGCAGCTGCTCGTAGATGTCCGCGAGGCGAGCGACGGGCCCCGCCCAGGACCTTGCGCGCTCCGCCCCGCCAAAGGTCATGAAGCGCATCGTGTCGCCGTCCAGCGACGCATGGAAGAGCATCGCGCCGGCGACAGGCGGGCCGTGTAGGTGAGGCCCGCTGGCAGCGCCGGGAGGGCGCACTGGCCGTCACGATTCTGGCCGCAGGCCACGGCGGAGCCATCGCTCCGGAGCAGGACCGTGGGACCCGTTCCAGCGGCGACCTGCGTGTAGGTCAGGCCCGCGGGCAGCGCCGGGAGGGCAGGGCGAAAGGGGGGGATAGCAAAGGGGGGGTGTTGAGAATCAGCTCACGCAGCTGATTTTCCCAGCGCCTCCCGGCGCCGGGAGGCGCCCATGTATCGAGGAATGGGCCCCTCGGTGGGGCCGAAACCAACTGCATGCAGCAGATTTCATTCCCCCCCTTTCCCAATAACCCCCTTTCGTCTGGCCCGATATCTCCTGAACCTCCAAGGTGCATCAAATGTCCACTGCCACGTGGGGGGTCCCGGGGAACTGGTGGCCTCCGGAGGCACTTGCGGGACGGCTGCGTCCTTCCTCCGCGGCCGCTCTCCTCTCGCCCGAGCCTGCTTGCGCCGCAGCCCACGTTGTTCCCGACCAGCCACAACTGGGGGAGCTGTGGTCCTTGATTACCCCTCTGGGGGAACCCGTCGCATCGACGATCCCTCGAGAGCGGTGTCGGAATCGAGGAGTCCCCCAGGGTGGCGGGCCTGCGTGCAGCCCTTCGACGGCCGACGGGCAGCTCCGCCTGGCGCTGCGGCACGCCCTGGGCCGGGCAGAGCTCCGAGAGGGCTCGGCGCGCTGGTCGCCGCTCCCCGCGGCACGACGACTGCCCCGGGCCAGGCAGCTCCCGCAGAGGCAGGGATCCGCTCGAGCCGAGCCCCGGGTCTCTTCGTGGTGCTGCCTCCTCGGGGGGGCATTGCCTGTCCCGTCGCGGCCCCATCCGCGCCGAGTCCGTGCCGAACCAACGTCGGGCTCGTCGGATCCGCGTCGAGCCCGCGTCGAGTCCGCGCCGAATCCAGGCCAAATCCGCGTCGAGTCCGCATCGGGCACAAGAGAAGACGCCAACTCTTTGGGGGAAGTTTACAGGCACGCCTGCGAAGCAGCTGGGGGTGTGGAGGCCCTTCCAGCGCTGTGGCAGGACACCATTTCTTCGGCCACGGCGTGGCGTGTCGCAGTCAGCAAGTATTGCGATGCCACGTGATAGTGGCTATGTGCTCATGTGCGTTTCGTACTCAGCACTTGCTTGCTTGCTTGCGAGATCCCCCGCAGCCGAAACAACATCCCCGGCTGCGCAGCAGAAGGGGCGGAGCCCAGGAAGCAGAGGGCGGGGGGGGGGCGCATCGTGGCGCGGGGCACGCCCGTGCTCGGGACGCGGGGGGGGGGCAGGGGCACGCGCGGAGCAAAGAGGCGGAGGCCATGGGCTCCAAACCCCCGCGGTCCTCACGGCCCTCTCGGACGCCCCCGACCTCTCCAGGGCCCCCCCCACGGCCCCGGCGGGCTCTCCGAGCCCCGGCCAGCCGTGGCGGCGAGAGCCGCCCGGAAGCCGGCCCGAGGCTGGCCAGAAGCCAGCGAGCAGCTGCAGCATCCGCGACTGCAGCCCCAGGTCCCATCCTTCTGCGGCATGCCCCAGGGCGAGATCGCCGGGCGGGAAAAAAGGGTGCGACGCCATGGATCTCATAGGACCCGAGGGACTCCTCCTGGGGTCCATCTGGTATCTGTTGCAATTTTTCACCCCACATCCGTTTTCGTCGGTCGGGGCCCGAGCACGGCTCTCGAGACATGATAAGACCGAAACTACAGGATAGGACAACAAACCTGCTCGAGCCCAAGACCTCGAACCTGCCCCACACCCCACCCCCCTTCCTGCCCGCCGGAACCAGTGCCATGCCACCGCAGACCCCCCGCCAGCCCTAACGCCATGGATCTCATGGGACCCGAGGGGCTGGTGACGGGGGGGCCACAAATGCCCAGCCTGGGCACCACCCCGCAGCGCGACGCCAGACGGCCGATCGGGACCCAGAGTTGAGGCATCGCAAGCTTCTCCACGTGGCTCCCTGGAGACATCGGCCACTTTCGATCACAGGAAGCATCTGCTGAGAGGTGTGCGTCGGATGAACTAAGGAAAATTAAGCCCCTTTCGGGGGGACTGCTGCGCCGGATTAGGCCGCGGATTTAACTGGATTGAGCCTGATTAAGCGGGCCTGCGCCGCCTCAAGCAAGATTAGCCCGACTTGAGCGGGATTAGGCCGGAGTTCGGACCAGGCCCAAATCAGAATTCGACCCCCCAGGAATTGCATCCGAACCATCCCCTTCTTGACACCTCCGACGCCGACCGTGATTGTCTCAGGAAATCTCGACCCCGGGAGGCTCGGAGCCCTTCCCGGGCACCTGCCCCTTCATCCCGGGCCTTCTGGTCGACGGCCGGTGGCCCCCCGCCTCCCCCTTCCGAGCTCTCCCGGCGGCAGATGCCGCCCAAGCGGCCGCCGCCGCTGCTGGGGCCGCGGTGGCGGCCGCAGCGGCGGTCTCGGCGGTCGCCGCGGTCGCGCCGCTGCGGCAGCTGCTGCGAGGCAGGCTCGTAAGGTAGGAAACTGAGGGAAACTTACTCCAGGTCTCTCCAGAAGCGGGGTGGGGGGGATCGCGGGGGGCGGGGGGGGAACCGCTGTCCCTCGGGGGGCGTGGGGAGGTCGGGGAGCGAGAGAGGGTGGGTTTGGGGCGCCTGGGGGGGAGGCGGGCATGCGGCGTCGGACAGGTTGGCACGGGGGGGGGGCTTCTTGACGGATCTGGAGCTCCAGCCGCGACAGTGGGAGCCGTCGCCTCCCGCTTCTCGATCCCTGGGATGCCGAGCGCACCGACGACCTGCTGCTGCCGAGAGGGGCGGCGAAGCCGGTGGGCCCTCCCAGAGGGCACGGCAAGGTCTGGGTCGTGCCGCTTGCGCGCTGGCGCTGGCCCGGCGTGGATCGGTCAACCTTCAACGATTTGAGCTATTTCTTGCGAGGAGCGGCGGGGCGAGAAGGGGAAGGGCGACTCTTCCCAGCCGAGAGCTCAGGGAGGAGGAGGAGGAGGAGGAGGAGGAGCAGGAACCTGAGCATGAGAAGGAACAGGAGGAGGAGGAGGACCGAATCGTGGATCGGTCAACCTTCAACGGTTTGAGCTCTTTCCGCTCGCCCGATCGTCTCAGACTGGCCGCCCCTGGATCACTGACGGCGTGCAACCTTGAACTCCTGCGCTGGGGTCGCCGCCGAGTCGACCCGACACGAATCCGCCGTCAGGACCACAGCTCCCCCCAATTCTGTGGCCCTCGCCGACCTCATCGGGGCACGACACGAATCTGCCGTAAGGACCACAACTCCCCAGTTTTGTGGCCCTCTCCGACCTAATCGGGAAAGGTCTCGAATACACCCCTTGTCTTGCTAGAGTGGCAAATCGCTATCTCTTGCGAGCAGCGGCGGGGCGAGAAGGGGAGGGGCGACTCTTCCCAGCCGAGAACTCAGGGAGGAGGAGGAGGGGGTGGAGGAGGAGGAGGAGGAACATGAGCATGAGCAGGAACAGGAGGAGGAGGAGGGGGTAGGCCCCCCCCTCACCGAAGACTTTTTCGCGGTCATCGAGACGGGCGTCGAAGCCCATGCCCCCCCCCCCCCCCAGAGGCGCAAAACCAAGGGCTTCGAGATGAGGGGTCCCAGGGACACACAAAGAAATACACACCGATCCCAGGATTCCTTTATATTTTTGCTTATTTGTTCGATGTCCGTCGCTCCCCCCCCCACCTCCCATGACGTCCCATTCTTTCCTGGGGATCGACGATTCGTTTTAGGTCGGGCGTGTCCCCCTACAGGCGGGTTTTGGACGACAAATAAAAAACCCTCCCAAATGATTTAAAGTGATCAAACACAAAAAAAACGTCCCCAAACTATTTTTGACTATTCTTAAATACTCCTCCTGTAGAGGGACAGGCCCGACTTAAGATTAGTTGTGTCTGTGTGCTTCTTCCTCTCCTGACTCCTGATTCAGGAGAGACAGAGTACCCTATACCACCAGCCAGAGAGGGGTGGCCACCCCCTCCCCTCGAGCTGGCGGCACCTCCCTCCGGGAACTCTCTGGAGGCATGCCCGGAACGAGGTGCCACCAGCTCGAGAGGGTAGGATTAGGTCGGGCGTGTCCCACTACAGGCGGAGGTTTGACGAAAAATAAAACGTTGTCAAAAATACCCCCCCCGCATGGTCAAAAAATACTCAACAAATCGTCCCCATACTATGTTTTGACTATGTCTGAATCTTCCACCAGTGAAGGGACAGGCCCGGCTTGAAAAGGCAGGACGGCCACCCCCCCTACTGGCCATCGCTCGGACGTCCATTCCCCGTGCCTTTCTCGGTCGCGTGCGTGGCTTTATCGCCAAATGATCACGGATGCTCCTCGATGGTCCTCGCCGAAGGAAAAATGCACACGTCCGAGCGATGCCAGGCCTAGCTGGTGGCAGCGGCACCTCTGCGTCCGACTCCCGACGAGCACAGCCCCGCCCAGACTATTGTTTGACTATTTTTGAATCCCCCCCCCTGTAGAGGGACAGGCCCGACTTGAAAAGGTAGGACAGCCCCTCCCCCCTTCTGGCCATGGCTCGGATGTCCACTCTCTGTCTCTGTGCTTTTTGTGGCTGCGTGCGTGGCTTTTTCGCCAAAGGAAAAATGCACCCGTATGGTCCTCAATGGTCCTCGATGATCCTCGAAGGTCTTCTCTGAAGGAAAAATGCACTCGTCCGAGCGATGCCAGACCTGGCCGGTGGCAGCGGGACCTCTGCGCCCGACACCCGACGAGCACAGCCCCGCCCAGACTATTTCTTTACTGTTTTTGAATATCCCCCCCTGTAGAGGGACAAGCCCGACTTAAAAGGCCAGGACGCCCCCCCCCCCACTGGCCATCGCTCGGCTGTCCATTTCCTGTGCTTTTTGTTCGGTCGCGTGCATGGCTTTTTCGCCAAATGATCACGGATGCTCCTCGATGGTCCTCGCCGAAGGAACAATGAACACGTCCGAGCGATGCCAGGCCCAGCTCTAAGTCGGGCGTGCCCCCGTACAGGGGGGATTTTTCGACGAAGAATATAAAATACCCCGCAAATACCCCCAAATGATCAAACATACTCGAAAAAATAGTCCCCCGACTATTTGTTTGACTATTTTTGCCTATCCCTCCTGTAGAGGGACAGGCCCGACGTGAGCCTCGCTGGTGGCAGCGACACCTCTGCGCCCGACTGCGGCCGCCTCCCGGCGAGCACACGGCCCCCGCCCGCACCCATGGGGGGGGCCCTGCCCTGCCCACAGGAGTTGACACGCCCATCCCAGGAGCCCTCTGAGGTCTTCTCTCGTCTCCTCGCGCTGCTCGTCCCTCCCCCCCAGAGATCTTGTCTCGTCTTCGCTCGGTATGTTCCCGATGGTTTTCTCATCTTCTCGTCTGCTCTCGATATTTCCCCCCCTCTCATCTTCTCTCGATCTTTTCTCATCCTCTCTCGCTCCCTGGGGATCGACGATTACGGTGGGGGCACTGGATAAGGAACCCCTAGATTTAGATGAGGAATCCAGAGTCTGGAGGCCGGTGGAACTCCAATCGAGGCTTGGCCACGGACATCGCCGCCGCCTTCATCAGATAAGGAACCCTCCAGGGTCTGAAGCCCCCCGGGCACATTCCTCAACGAACGCCCCATCCGTAGTTGTGCATCGCTCGGACGTCCATTCCCTGTGCTTTTCGTTCGGTCTCGTGCGTGGCTTTTTCGCCAAATGATCAAGGGTGCTTCTCGATGGCCCTCGCCGAGGGAAAAAGGCACACGTCCGAGGGATGCCAGGCCCTGGCTGTGCCTGTGTGCGTCCTCCTCTCCCGACTCCCGACGAGAAACCGCCCTGCCCACACCGAGGGCCCCGCGCCCAGCCGGCCGCAGGCGCCGGCCGGCCGGCCGCGGGCGCCGAGCGGCGGAGGCCACATTCGGGCAGCGTTGTCGTCGTCGTCGTCGTCGTCGTCGTCGTCGTCGTCGTCGTCGTCGTCGTCGAGTGGCTGCTCGCGAAGAGGGCACGGGTCGCGCGCCCCGAGAGGCCCCCGGCCCCTGCCCTGGGGGGCACCCTGGTCGCCCCGGGGCCCTGGCTGCTCGACGGCGCGCAGGATCGGCGGCAGGCCCGAGGGGGAGACGAGAGGGGGCGGGCCCCCCCCTATGAAGGGGCCCCAGGACACACACATAAATACACACAAATAGAAAGATTCTCCATATTTTCCCATATGTTTTAGGTTTTTGTCTTCCCCACCACTCCCCATATTTTTGCATATTTTCCTGGGAGTCGACGATCACTTGTGTCTGTGTGTTTCTTTCCCTCCTGACCCTAGAAGGCTCGGAAGTCCCCTGGCCTTTCTGGGGAGGTGTCCTGAACGCCCCCCGAGGACGCAGAACAATTCTCAGAGGCGCAGTCGGCTTCTGAGAAATCCCGCCGCCCGCTGAGAAGACTGTTTCCTTCTCCTGTCCGCCCCCCGCTCGCCGCCGACAAGAGTGACCCTAGGCAAGAATGACCTTTGGTGTGCGGATTTGGGGGGCCGCGATGGGCCCAAAGCCAGCCGGGCGGGCCAGTGCTGGGGCCACCCCTGCGAGCCCACACCACAGGTCACTCTGGCGGTTGGTCACTCCTACGCGTAGCCAGTTCTTGATCCGGGGATTCAGGGAGTTCGACTCGACGACGAAGATGACGACGAGGACAGCGACCACGACCATGACCACGATGACGATTATGGCGACGACACGACGACGACAGCGGCGGCGGCCACGACGAGAAAGCGCCCTCCCCCCCAGGGGCTCCTCCTGGAGGTCCCTGCTGCTGATGACCAACAGGTGCGCCCTGCCTCCCACGGCCACCACCGTGTTCTGGTGCGGCTCGCCTTGGGGGGGGGGAAGGGGCGGCGCACGCGCGCGCGCGTGGGGGGGGGGGACGAAAAAGCGGCGGCGGGAGGAGGGGGGGAGGAAGGAGGAAGGAGGGAGGCAGGGAGGCTGATGGGGGGATTCTACAGGAGGGTGCTGAATAGAGCCGCTCGTGCGGCGCAGCCTGGTGCGCCACCCCGCCGAGAGCCGAGGCCCACGGACAGCACCGTGGGCAGGCCGCTCCCGCGTGCCCCTTCCTCCGCTGCGGCTTCAGGGGGAGTGCAAAGCCGCGGGAGCCCCGTGCTGCGGTGGCCTCCTCATGCTCCGCACAGCGGAGAGCCTCAGTCGGCGCTGCAGCGCTGGTTCCGCAGGCCTCGGAGGAGGAGTAGCAGGAGGAGGAGGGGAGGAGGAAGAGGAGGAGGGGGAGGAGAAGGTGGAGGGGGGGAGGAGGAGGAGGAGGAGGAGGAGGAGGAGGAGGAGGAGGAGGAGGAGGAGGAGGAGGAGGAGGAGGAGGAAGGCCTCCGTGGACAGAGGCCTCCCTGAATTCGCGACTGGCTCTCCTGCCCGTTGCGGTGCTTGCCATGGCAGGGCTCGGCCGAATGGCGAGCGCCTGCAGTGCCGAACCTGCCGCACACCGCACAAACACACGCACGCACGCACGCACGCACGCACGCACGCACGCACGCACGCACGCACGCACGCACACACACACACATACACACACACACACATCGGCCATCCATCCTGTGCGTGTCGTGGGCGCGCATCTGCAGATTCACACTCTGGGAACCCGATTCCATACAGTCGGGGCGTTGACCTAAGGAACCCTAAATAAGGAACGAGGTCCCTTTTTTCCATAAGTGAAACGTAGATTTCCTGTCGAAGACATGAGGAACACCTGAGACAAAAAGTGAAACACTTAAGGAACGCGGAGCCCCTCCCCAACCAAAAGGGTTCCTTCTTCAGGGCCCCGACTGTACACGACTTCGAGCTGGCAAGCAACACCTTGGGGACTCTGGGGGGCACACACACACACACCGTACAACCGAATCCCTCGAGGTAGGCTCCCCTTACGAACTGCTTGATAATAACGGGGAGGAGGGGGAGATGGGAAGATGAGGGAGGAGGAACATGGGGGGAGGGAGGGAGAGGATAAAGAGTAAGCGATACTGGGAGAAGGTGAATGGGGGATAGACATGCTAGTCCAAAATGAAATCCCACCAGCCCTTTAGGGCGTAGGTGGTCTAGAGCGTTTCCTCTGCCAACCCCCGTCTTTCCCTTCGGGGAGGGGTTTACCCCTCCCCTTACCCCTCCCCGCCGACCTGGACGAGGGGTTCCGCGGGTCGGTGGGACGTCCAAGATGGCCCAAGACGGCTCCAAGAGCGAAAAAGCGAAAACGCACAACACATTGATTTCCTTTAGGTTTTGGAAGGGCGTTGGCCCCAAGAAAAGCCTCAGAGGCGATTCGAGGCACTCTAGGGGGCAGCGCTGATACACGACCCCCCTTCTTTAATATATCTCCTCGAAGATGGCCCCAAGAGCGCCCCGAAGGCTCCCAAGAGCGCCCCAAGAGCGCCCCAAGAGGGCCCCAAGAGGCCCCCAAGATGCCTTCAAGAAACTCCCAAGAGACCCCCAAGAGGCCCAAAGAGGCTCCCAAGACGGCTCCAAGAGCGAAAAAACGAACAAGAACAAAACATAGACTGTCCTTAGGTTTCGGAAGGAGGTTGGCTTCCCCCAAGAGGCACCAAGAGGCTTCCAAGATGGCCCAAGACGGCTTCAAGAGCGAAAAAGCGAAAAAGCACAAAACATTGATGTCCTTTAGGGTTTGAAAGGATGTTGGCCTCAAGAAAGGCCTCAGAGGCGATTCGAGGCTCTCTAGGGGACAGCGCTGATATACGACCCCCCTTCTTTAATAGATCTCCTCCAAGATGGCCCCAAGAGCGCCCCGAGGCTCCCAAGAGCGCCCCAAGAGCGCCCCAAGAGGGCCCCAAGAGGCCCCACGAGGCCCCGAAGAGGCCTCCAAGAGGCCCCCAAGAGACTCCCAGAAGGCCACAAGAGGCTCCCCGATATACGCAAGAGGCCCCCGGGACCGCCAAGAGGCCCCAAAGACGGCTCAAGAGGCCCCCAAGCTCGTCATGGTCCTACTCCTCCTCCTCTTGTTCTTCCTCCTCCCTCCTCCCCCTCCCCCTCCTCCTCCTCCTCCTCCTCCTTCTCCTTTTCCTCCTTCTCGTCCTCCTCGTCCTCGCAGTCCTCCATCTCCTCCTCCTCCTCCTCCTCCTCCTCCTCCTCCTCCTCCTCCTCCTCCTCATAGTCCTCCTCCTCCTCCTCCTCCTCCTCCTCCGCCTCCTCCCCCTCCTGCGCCTGCTCCTCCTCCTCCTCCTGCTCCTCATCTCCCTCCTCCTACTCCGACGACGACGGCTCATCGTACATCCTCCCCCTCTTGGGGTATATGGCGGCTCACCCCGCCCTTTGTTCTTCTGCATGCTCCCCCGCTTCCCTCATAACCTCGACTCCCCTGGGACTCATTTCTGGACAGGCTGGTGGGGATGCGCGAAGCGTCTAGAATTCTGAACGGGATAACTGGCCCCCACCCCTCTCAAGTACCATTACAAGAAGTCCCCACAAGCCTTCTTTCCCACAGGTGCCTCCCGATCCCCATTGAAATATGAGCGCCGCGTGACCGTGGCATTCAGGCGAGGGTACTGCTTCG